GGTCAAAAAGTCAAAAACTATACCAAAAAACGTCATATATTTATCTCCTGCCTACTTTTTGTACGATTTTTAGTAAAAAATCAAAAAATATGCCAAACTTACTAATTTTTTCCACCTTATATTTTAGCCAAAATGTCAAAACATTACTAAAATAGCATATTCCCAAACCAATCTTAAAGATAATTCTGACATTTGGTTTATATATATTTGTTTTTGTTGACCTAATTTTTATCTTACTCCACACACTCTCTGTAGCCCAACCATTCCATGATATATTGTAAATTACAAAAATCTCCTTTAATTTTAAAAATAACCATTTGGTGATGTTTTCTTTTTGAACTACATTTGATGATATTATTCACAAAGAGTTAGTTTAGTTAATAGGGTATAGATGGGAGAATAATGGCAGGAGCTCTAGCAAATTGTTGTGTTGGGTTGAAAGCCGTAAAGTTGGCTAGAGAAAGGCACTAGAAAAAGGGTGGCTTAAAAAAGGCAATTAAAAGTGGAGAGAAGGGAGTGAAATAATTTATAGGTAGTGGAGTGACTTGAGAAAATGGTAACTACTTCTGTAGGATAAGGTGGATTTGATTTGGAGTGACTTAAGAAAATGGGTCAGTACTACTCCCTCTCAATTTTCTTTCATTTGATTTTCTAATTTGAGTTTCAATATGCAATTGTAAATTAAAAGTTGTATGTTGTAATGTGACAAGAAATTGACTTGAAACAATATATTTACTTTTAGGTCTAAGTGAAATTTTTTGTAGCTTTAATATTTATGTGCATCTTGACTAATCCCGATACACACGCAAAGTGCCCCTCCACATGGATCGGCCCCATCCACGCAAAGCACCCCTCCACGTGGATCGGGCAAATCTCATGCAAAACCTGAGGGCGTAGCCCCAATGAGTTGATAGCACCTAGTGTAAGTTGAATCTGACAACTGAAGGGAGCACACCCGCAGACCTCAAACTACACCCACTAGGCCAACCCCTTGGAATTGTTAGGTAATACTTAAAATATAACATTAAAGGCAACACAATTAAAACTTCATTTGAGTGTAGTTCAAAAACAACTTAATTTACATGATTTTAACTATTTTACCTTTAACTTTTAAAATTGTTACTATTTAAATTCAAAAATAAAATTTTAATTATTTGTTTAAGACCATGCATAGCTTGGGTTATACGCTAATATCAAAATAGTAAGAAATCATTTTCCGCATTATAAATATTAGAACAAAAAGATATTCACCCAAAAAATATTAGAAAAGAAGTATCAACAAAAAGTACTACTCTCTCCGTCCCAAAATATTAGTCCCTTGTTCCATTTTTCATTGTACAAAAAATATTAGTCTCTTTTCAAAAATCAAGGACAAAAATAACATGAATTTCCTATTTTGCCCTTCTTTTAAATTCAAACATTAATATTTTTAAAGTGCAATAGTTGTATTACCAAAGGGTAGTTTTGGAAAGTCAATATTTTTGAAATGTAAACAAGGAACTATCAAAAAAAAGTAAAATTTCCTAAAAATGACTAATATTTTGGGACGAAGAGAGTAAAATCTATTTTAGAAAGCTCTATTCCTAAACAAATTGCATGCTATGAAACATAAACATGAACAAGAAACATGAATACGACACAAATGGACATGTAGGATAGAGACATGGTTAGAACACGCCACAAATAAGCACGACTGGGGACTTCATGGTCCAAGATAATAAAACCATCAATAAGAGTAACATAAGCATGAGACTTTCTAGTAGTACCGGTGAACCAAATGGCCGCAACGATGGAATCTAGGACAGAGGACTTAATTATATCTTCATATTATATTATCTAAGAATATATTATATTATACAGTTACATAAGTGCATAATATATACAAAATTAAATAATTAATTTACACTAAGTAAATCTTGTATTTAATTCTCTTACATGAATTTTTAGCCTATTAGACCATGGTAGTTCAAAATCCGATAAATTATAGCAAATATCTATAATTGAAACATTTCCCTCTTTCTCCTAAGCCATTTGCTAATGCATTCATATATATTTTCATTTTTCATTTATTTTATATTAAGCTTCTATAGGATTATTCTTAATAATCATATTTTATACGGATATAAAATATTTATGTCAAATTCCATGTGTTAGCAAATGTCCAATAAGTGTTGATAATCTTATGTTTATTTTTTTTCAAAGCTTTATTAGTTCTATTCGATTCTTTTTTTTTCCCCCTTTCTTACTGTTGTAGTAGATCAAAATTATATAAAATAAAAGATAAAAAAATTAATTACTTTCATCATAGTATTGATGTTTTTAAATTGTTATTTGAAATTTATATACTTGAATAAAGTGAGAGTTTACAAATTATTTTGTTTTTGGCAAGAAACTCTCTTTTCTGATTTCTTCTATGTAATGACATTAAAATAGCTCATGGACTTACTTTAGTATTGTTGGTATTGTTAAACAATGATTTATTTTTTGGTTTTATAATTTCTCTTCTTAATTATGGTGTTGAACTTTGATTTGTATGTTGGATGTTTAGCTATATATTTTGAAAAATAAAAAAATAAAAAAATAATTTGGCATATCCCAATTGAACCCGTACCTTACTTTTTTTAGAATTTGACATATCGGCGTACCCGTACCTATGCTTCTTAGATTGGCAGTTTGCTTTGGAGAGGGAGCGTGTTTAGCAAAGCTAGTGGCGACCAAGTATGGGGTGGGTTTGGAGGTTGGTGTTTAGGGACAGTGGTGGGTCCACATGGGAGGGGCTTGTGGAATGAGATTGGTTAGCATGGGGAATTTTGGAGTTGGGTCCGTTTTAAGGTAGGTAGGTAGATGGGAGGGGGTGCGTTTCTAGTCAGATTTATGGTGTGGAGATCAGTTGTTGTGTCATCATTTTCCACTTATTTTTTGACTTACGGCTGATAAGTTTGCAACTGTGGCTTCTTTACTTGGTCAAGTAAGGCAACGAGTTTTTTGGTATGTTCGTATTCGGCAGCCGATTCAGGAGTGGAAGGTAGAGCAGCTAGCGGCTTTGTGGCTTCTTACTCAGTTTTGTCTTTTTATCAAGCTTTAAGGGGCATTCCCATCACGGAATGTGCAGGTCGCTGGTGGACCCTCAAAAGTCATGTTCTTTGTTTGGACGGCGGCGTTAGACCAGATTTTGACAATGGATAACCCTATTCAACGCCGTCATGTAACGGTGAATTGGTGTTACATGTGTCGGACGGATGCAAAATCGGTCACACCTTATTCATTGTCATGTTGCTTCCCAGTTATGGGTGTTGCTACTTTCTATGTTACATGGACTTGGGTATGAATATTGGTATCGAATTTGGGTGCAGGTGCGCATCTAGGGGTCGACACTTCAAAATTAAAATTTGAGGATACGTGGATATAGATCCAAATTTGGATATAGATACGAAGATACGGTAATTAGTTATTTTTTAAATATATTTATTATATAAAGATGAGTTAAATAGTTATTTTTTAAATATATTTTTATTTTTTATCTTATGTATTATTTTTATTGATAATATTTTTAATTTATGTATATAATTTATTTTTTTATTTTTAATTGACATATATATATATTATAAATATAAAAAAAAAAGTATAACAAATAAGGAATAATAAAATAAAATATGTTAAAATAAATAAAAAGTAAAAATTAGATGATTTATTTTACAGATTTTATTAGATTTTTTTTATTATATATGATTTAATTAGATTTATTATTATATAACAAATTATATGATTCATCTATTATGTTAAAAAGGAGGGAAGAGAGAGAACAAATCGGGGAGAGAGAGAGAGGAGAGAAGAAGAAGAAGACAGAGAGAGAGGAGGAGATCGAGAGAGATGAAGATAGAGAGAAGACGAGAAGACGGAGAGAGAAGAGGAGATCAACATAGATGAAGATAGAGGGAAGACGAGATCGAGAGTGAGGAATCGATTGGCGCGAGATTGAAGTCATCGAAGGCGCGACCAGCGGAATCGAAGTCTTCACCCTTTTGAAGTCGACGACCAGGTTCTCACCTTGTTCTTTTCTCTTTCGTTTCTTCTGAACATAGCCGTATTCGTTTGTAAAGTGCCGTATCCCAGCCGTGTCCCTCACCCGTACCCGTGTCGTGTCGTGTCGACACGGGTACCTCCAAAATTCTAAAGAGTCCGTGTAACGTAGGCTATTTTATGTGTGGTTTGGTTTGGGTGCAACAAAGGGATGTTCTGGGTGTCCTTGGGAGTTGGCGAGGGGGTTGGTGGGGTAACGTCAGCGGAAAACCTGGGATCTTGTGCCATTGTGTTTGATGCGGTCCATTTGGTTAGAGCATAATAGGCGGATTTTCCAGGGGATGGGTGGCATGTTTGAAACAACGGGTTTTGGGAAGTTTTGTACAGTTTGGGTGTCAAGGCGGGTGAAGCCATTTTCTAAATTTTTAGATTCTTTGCATGGTTAGGTGATGGCTCTAGGATGTTCTTTTGTATTCTTTAGCATCATCTAGATGCTCTTTTATTAATAATATTGTTTTTATTTATCAAAAAAGAAATTATTGTACAAGATCAATGAGAAATTTTCATTCAATATTTTTGTACACCCTTCTCAAGATGTATACTAGAAGGAAATGGTGATGCTGATCCGCAATTTCATCGAAGTTGAGCCATGGCCATTATTGAATCATGGTGCTCCAAGGGATAGAGAAATACAGAGAAAATAATAAAGCCTAAAGAAGAAATGACCAATCTGCCAATTGCCTATGAGGGATATATAGGGCACCTGGGTTTCCAACTCAGTAACAAACATTGTGCAGAGACCAAAATTAGGCTCGGGTCAAGAATTCCTCAAGACTAAAATAGCAAGCCTAGCGTGACTAAGCCTTCTAAAAGACTGATTAGCTCTTGGTTAAAAGGGAAGGAAGTCAACCAACCAAGGGTGCAACTGATAAAACAAAAGCTAGGGATACACACAGCAAGAGAAATTCAATTCATATTACCTCCGAGAACCACAGTTGCAGGGGATCTTTTTCTCCTCCAGTGGAAACTTGTAATTGTAAGTAATTTCTTCACCAGCAGCAATATGCCGTTTTGCATAAATGAAAATCTTTTTCTGACCCTCAACACTTATAACCTTGGTATAGCAATTAGGCTGAAAGACAATTGATTTTGATATAGAATGGAAAAATCAAATTAGAAAGGTCATCCTATTGCTTTTAAAAATCAAATTAAAAGAGTTAGTTGATTACTTAATGCAGCTACCTCACATGAATGGTTTATGAATCTAGCAATCCCACCACGTTTTGTCGCATCAACCTACACATAATTCCAAAATATATTAGCAAAAAATATGATTTTTATATTCATTTTTTTTTATTAATTTAAGCAATTATCAGACTGGCTTAATGTTTTTTAGTAATACCTAAGCCTAAGCCTAGTTGGACATACATGAGCAGAGAAAATTGTAAAAGGTATAGAAACCGAAGGATGGTCAATTCAATATTAGAGTTCAGAGGACTTTGCTTAGTCCCATAAAATTATATCATTAGCTTAACATATGGTCCTCACGAGAACAAAGAAAATTATAAACCAACCAATAGACAAAGGTTTTGGTAAAAGCAAGTTAAGAGGCTACACAGTGAAAATCACTTTATACCATCCATCACCTTTTACTTACCACATAACCATCGTCCAGTCTAAAAAGATAACTGCTCCCAATTCCCATCTTCTCATAATAACGTTCACGTATATCAGATATCTGTGAGACGAAAAATGTAAGTTAAATAATAAAGCAAAGAATAAAAAAACATTCCAAACATTAATTACCGAATCATACACATTCAGAAAGAACATAATCAAGCCATAACAACAAAAGAACAAAAGAGAGAGAAAACAATAGTAAGAAAATGATGTAACTAGCAACAAAATTGAGATCCACAACTAATATGGTGCATTTAGTAATGAAAAAAATGATTTTAGTCTTACACGAGCACGAATTAGTTCTCCAACATATTCAATGACAAAATCCTCTGCCTCAATTGGCTCCAACGCAACAAGACCCCAATCATGTATTTTGCTCCTTTGGAAACGTAATCGTTTTTTCCTAGCCTGAAAAAATTTGTAAAATATTTAATAATGACCACATATGCACAGAGACATGCCAAAGCAAATTACATCCTTCTATCACCTTCAACTGCGTAGTTTTCAAAAGATCAGCACCCTCTGCAGCAGCAAGAAGGTTGCGCATCTTAACCCTGTTTGTTCTGGCAGAAAGGCCCTTCATATTCGACATCTGTGATCCACTAACCTCGTAACCAATATGTTGAGCATGAACACGATGAGTTCCCCTAACACAGGCTCTTTCAGCGAACTTTGCATTTAGTGACCATTTATGCCATTCCCAACCATTAATTGATGCTCGAGCACACCCATCAGACCTGGGGCATGGATTAGATGCCCTGGATTTTCTTGTCTTAATCTTCCGTACAGTAACTTGTTTAAAGACTGGTTGCTTGGCAACACTATTTTTCAGTTTCAAAACTTTTCTAGAGCACGACAATGGCACATCATCCATTGAGTGCTTCCTCCTCAGATTTGCTGCCTTAGTTACTGCTACAAAACAAACAATTCAAACAAAAGGTAAGAGTAGAGTACTAAACAAATATTGTAAAAACTAATTGAGAAACCATTACACAATCACAGAAAGTTAAAAGTGGCAAATTTTAAATAATACAGAAAAAGATCAAGAATATGATTCACATTTTGTTATCTTTTTGGAGCTGCCGCCTGTAAGCGCTTCCTGCATCCAAACATCCTCTACATTGCTAGTAGCAACCTTCTCAGTATCATTAGAACCCTCTGTGAAAACTGAGACACTACCTTTGCTGCATTCTGGATCATTTCCTTTGACCGCAAAATCTAGAAAAAACAATAAATAGCTTTTTGCTGTGTTTGAGGTGTGTCATACTCGTCCATAAAATTGCAGGGTAAAGAAATCGAGTTGAAATGAAATACCTTGAACTACAAGAGAAAACTCCAATTTCTGACTGACTGCATTATGGCTTGCTGAGTCATCCTCGCACTGTTTGGCATCAATACAGGATTCAGTCTGGCAATTATTTAGCCCAATTTTTTTAAGATTCAAAACCGCAGCAACTTCTGCAACCTCAGACACACCTTCAGAAAAATCCTGCTTTCTTGACTTCTCCACAGCCTGATTATGTAATCCAACATTCCCTGAAGTCGCACATTGAGACACAGATCCCAACTTTCTACGCACCAATTTTTTCTTGCGGTAATATGTATATTTTCCAGATACCGCCAAAGGGTCTAAGCTGTGAGCAACCCTTGATCCTTCCCTAAGTTTATCAGAAATACTGGGAGAATTCTCAGCTTTCTCTTTATTCATCTTACATTCTCCTATCTGAAACAAAGGCATGATGAGAATCAATAGAAATTACATAATAAGAAAAATGTATATACTTAGGCTTCGTTTGGGAAGGGCCGGTTTAGCTAAAAAGCCAAAAAGTTACTAAAAAAGTCAAAAAGCCAACAATCCATACCAAAAAGTCAAAAATTCTCTTTTCTCTCTACTTTTTGCACACCTTTTCATAAAAAACTAAAAAGTCATCCCAAACATACTAATTTTTTTTAGTTCATATTTTAGCCAAATAGCCAAAAAATTACTAAATTAGCCTGTTCCCAAACGAGGCCTTAATCATATTTTAAAATCATACTCGATGGGAGTGAAGCAAAAAAACTTTGAAAAGTTTAGGTAAAGAAAATATATCAAATAGAAAATCACCTCACTAGCATGTAATCTGCAGTGTTTCTTTGAAGACCATGACAATAGATGTTCATGAAGAGCATGATCAACAAACAAGGATTTCCACTCTCTCAGCACACCATCATGTAACTTCTGCCGGAACATTGCCATCACGACACTCTCTCTAATCTTAGTGAGATACTCATCTGACCAGGATGTTTGAAATTTATCTACCATTGATGGAACAACATCTCTTAAATTATCCTCAAATCCGGGTGGACATGGCTCATGAACTTTTTGGTCATTAACCGTATTATCTACATGTGCACACAATTTCAAAAATGCACTAGATAAAAAATGAGACAGAGAACTTTTATATCCAGAAACATAAGTCCCATGGCAAGGTTCTGCTAATTGTGATGGAGACTGGGAATCATCAGATGAAATCATCTTTAAATCAGGACATGGGTCAGTAAAACCGTATCCACATAAACTGTGTTGAACAGAAGAGTCAGAGGCAACCTGCAACATACTTCTTTTTCTTAATGACACTCAGGTAAAAGTTGAAAATATTTGCACTACCAACCGATTACTAAGAGAGACAGAGGCAACATACGGTTGCCAGGAGGATTCCAAAAGCAATTATTTTTATTCAGTTAAAACTAAAAAATAATTCTTTAAGCTTACCTCATTCAATTTGCCACCACCTAAAGAATCAACTACTTTCTTCACTTCCTCCTCAACGAAAGTTTCAAAATATTGAATCAAAGATGTAGCTGCAGATGATTGGAGATCATTCTCTACACGTTCCAAGATGCAATCCAAGTCTTCGCAAATTTGATCACGATTCGATAGACTCTTCTTCTTAAATGACTTTTCTGCCCCAAAGGAGGTTGAAACACCCGCAGGTGGACAGGAATAAATATCTGGGATAATTCTCACCAATTCAAAACCAGGGGGACGCTCAAGCTCACAAGAAGAAGATTCTTCTTCTGATCGCAACTGTAAACCCATCAAGAATTGCTTCAGGTACAATAGACACAACAAAACCAGTGCAAGAGAATATCAAGGATACAAAATATTAGTTCAACTGATACCTTCTCAATTTTTCTGACATACTTTGTGAATGGGATTCCCTGTTCAGCAGCAGCACAATGACCAGACCAGCGTCTTCTCTTTCGCCATGAAGAGGAATACTTTGCTATAGGATCATAAAAAATGGCATTCCACATGACTTGCATGCAAGAATCAAAAATCATTCTGCAGACAAAGAGATATGCACGCCATATGTTCTCATAGTTTCCGACGGATTTCAAGCTTGCAAGAGAATTTGTAGGACTTTCATTAATGGGATGTTTCTGCCCAGAAACATCATTACATGCTGCCACCTCATTCACAGAAGCAACTGACTCATTCCTCGCATCAAAAGTTTCAGACTGTTCACAGAATACACCACACAGAGATATGAGACAATAAAGAAAGGAAAGCATCAGTCTTTTGTTTGGCACTTGCTTACATACCGCTTTGCTATCCAAAGAGCAAGTTTTGGCAATCTGATTGACCACTTCCAACCTAGGATGCCTGTGGGCTTTCGTCATAGCAGCACATTCTGCAATTATGTGGCGAATAATCTCATCTAGCACAACTCTACGAGCTGCTTTCATAATTCCAGTGTGCAGTTGGAAGCATACTTCTTCAGAAATTTCAGATAAGAAGCTTGATAAAGAACCAGTCTCATTGCCTTTAATATCAGATACACATACATGTCCAGGTATAGCCGTTCTCCAAGAATTTATCATAGATTGCAAAGTAAACGGTCTAAACTTATTATCAGCGTGATATACCTGCACAATGGCATCAATACAAGGCAGTAAGAGGTAATGTAACCAAAGAGAAAGCTTAGCAAGTGCAAAACATAATATCTACAAGAAAGGAATTGTTCCCAGACACACAACAAAAAGTATATCACAATGAATGGGATACTCATAACCAATTAAACAGGTCATAGACAAGGACCACCCTCCCAATGCTTATAGCCTTTATTTCTCTAGGAAAACTAGTCACGAAACAAAAATTGCAAATAAATTATGAGCAACATGCATCTCCAAAATTCATATTAATCAACAAGCCGAACGGAACTCATTACTAGAGATGGTACATGTGCTATGCATGCAATCAAACATCTTTCTTTTTCTTGGGTTTTTCCCCATTTTTTGGGAGCTACACCTAAGTCTCCCTTCTCATTATGGAGACTTCAAAACCAACAGTTTTAGAATAACTATCAGAAGGGGTAGTACTCTCTAGGGTTTCCAGCAGTTTCAACACAGCAAAAAGAAGATGAATTTTACTTCAGGTATGTGTTAAGATTTCTTCTCTGTTTTGTATATTACTCATGATTTCTGTAAGATATCCCTATCACAATACGTTTTTCTCCACACACAGGACTGTTATATCCAAAAAGATGAAATGACAAAGTACCACAGAGTCAAAGTAAAGTTGTTTTCCACAATTTTTACACCAACTATCACAGCATATGTCAACCAATCCAATATAACTCATTGAAAATGAGCAGGATCACAGCATTTTGATATCTTACCGTTACTGAATCGCAAAGATATCCATGGTGATGCCAAGAATAAAGCTCCACAAGAGAGTGTGGTCCATGTTTCCTCCCCTCATCATCCTCAAAGAACCAAGACAATTCGTTGCCTGACTGTGATTTAAAAATATAGTTAGGAATTAGTAAAAAAAATGAAAATGAATCACCCATTAACAGGTAACTTCCAAGTGGTCGTCTTCATACAGCTACATACAAAATAATGGGCGATTCTTGCGAAGAAATAGGAATGGTTTGACCAACAGAAGTGGTAATACCAGCAGTGGGTATGACGTAGTTGAAGCAGCTGCTTCAGAGTTGAACATCTGTTGGTTGGAGCAACTGTTGTGGTCAAGACATGGTTGGATTGTTGAGTGTGAACCAGAATAATCACTGTTCGGAGCAGCAAAAAGTGGATTGTTTGTTTCTAAATCTCTAGTGGAATTGGCAACACAATTTGTTGGCACAATTATCCCAGAGATACCTGTAGTTAAATAAGCAAAACCAGTGGCAACATGGTCAGGAAATTGCTTGAAGTAATTCAATGGCACAGGGTTGATTAAAGCCCCATTTACAATGGGATACACGGGAAGCTCATTAGGCAAGAACCCTGTGAATAAACCCTCATACAACTGCTCCTGAATATAGGGCCCACACATTTGCCCATTTTCATTGACATACATCCATCCAGTCACAAATGCAGTCGGGACACATCCAGTGTAAGTCTTTCCCTGGTATGAAGAACCCCCAATGTTGCACGGCTGCGGAATATTGCCAATGTCGCCATTAGACTGGCAGCTCATCTCTGTAGCAGAATGTGAACCAACTTCTTCACAACAATCACAGCAAGATGAGGACACGTGGAGACTAAAAAAAAAATGATAACAGTAGATTAAAAAATGTGAAAACCATATAAGAAGAAAACCCACTATGAAATCAAACCATGGAGTAATGATACAGTACCCATGACTTGGCTCAGCAGAATAGGCAACAGCATCAAAATTACCAGCAGATATCTGAGAAACTAGATCATGGCGTACAGAATCTGAGACCTTTAGCCTCTTTCTACACGAAGAGTGGTCGTATTCATAGCGCTGGGAATCCGGATAAAAAATATCAGTTTCACTGATGCAAGGAGTTGAAGAGACCATGACTCAGAGAAGTTCCCGAAAGCAACCTGGGCAAAGAAAAATAACTCACATTCACATACTACGTTTTATAAATCACGAACTTGATGAATGTTTGGCACACGGGCATAAACTTTTCGGAAATTGCCCCAGTCAAACAAAGCATAAGGAAGGGCACACATTGAAGGATGAATCACAAAACGGGTGTATGTTAAGTGTCGAAAATATAGTGCCAAAATGCCAATCCTAAAGTCAAATTTTCCAAACGAAAGAAACAAAAATAAAATAAAATAAAATAAAATTTGTTGTACGAATTCTTACCACAAGAACATGAAGTGTTATAATCTAGAATTCAATTCAAATTTCTGGTAACTTCCTATTTTAATAGAGACGGGACGGTGTGGTTCTATTGTTCGGGGTTGATAAAGGAATTAGACAGCAGAACCAAAATTAAAATCCCATCCCGATTTCGACACAAATAAGAAATTTTTAATTGATTCAAATATAGTCCTATAATCCAATATTGATCTTTCAAATTATTCCTATAGTTCTAGGGCTTGGATGAATTCCAACATAACATGACATAGAAAGATATATATATATATATAGAGAGAGAGAGAGAGAGGCCGACCTAGTAGATGAAAGCTGGTGCCGACGATGCCCCCAGTGGGTAGTCCGATGGTGCTCGTGGCGGTGGATAAGGCCCCTCTAAGAACAACGAACCCTAGAATAAGAGGAGCAGCGTGGGCAGCTAACTCCACTTCTAATCTATCTATGCCTTCGGTTCAGTTTATATTTATAAAAATTATTATAATAATTTTTTTATTTATAAATAGTTATCTAAGTTTATAAATTGGGAAATTTATTATAAAATCTTTTTTTAAATCTTTGTATCAATTAGTTCATAAAATATTATTATATTTTAATAGATCCTATTATTTGGACATTTTATTTACTAAATCTTAATTTTTATATTTAAAATATTTTATGGATATTTCTATTCTTACAAATATTTTTTAAACGGTTAGCAATTTGGTGATATAAATATTCGTATTTTATAATATGAATATTCACATTGATTGTGTGAATATTCACATTACGAAACATTTATACTGTAAATGTGAATATTATTATAAGTATTTTGGTAACTATGTCACCCATAGGACTTATTGGAACATAAGAAAATAATGTAGACTGAATGAAATATAAGTAGATGAAAAATGATTTATGAAAAAGTAACTCTTATAAATTTGAGGAAAAAATGTAAATTAAAAATGAGTTTACGTTAATTTTTAAACAGAAATTTAAAAATTTGGCTAATTAATTTTTTTTCAATTAATTTTTTTTGATTAATTTTTTTTCTTCAATTATAACGTGTATGATACCATTGTCATAAATAATAAAAAATAAATTTATATATTTTAGACCTGAATAAACATATTTTTTCATTTATATTGTTAAAATTTTTCAAATATTTTATTCAAATCAAACGCGTTTATTGTTTATGTTTTTCTAATTTTACTTACTAAATCCTAATTTTTATATTTAAAATATTTTATGGACATTTCTATTCTTACAAATATTTTTTAAACGGTTAGCAATTTGGTGATATAAATATTCGTATTTTATAATATGAATATTCACATTGATGGTGTGATATTCACATCACGAAATATTTATACTGTAAATGTGAATATTATTATAAGTATTTTGGTAACTATGTCACCCATAGGACTTATTGGAACATAAAAAAATAATGTAGACGGAATGAAATATAAGTAGATGAAAAATGATTTATGAAAAAGTAACTCTTATAAATTTGAGGAAAAAATGTAAATTAAAAATGAGTTTACGTTAATTTTTAAACAGAAATTTAAAAATTTGGCTAATTAATTTTTTTTCAATTAATTTTTTTTGATTAATTTTTTTTCTTCAATTATAACGTGTATGATACCATTGTCATAAATAATAAAAAATAAATTTATATATTTTTAGGCCTGAATAAACATATTTTTTCGTTTATATTGTTAAAATTTTCCAAATATTTTATTCAAACCAAGCGCGTTTATTGTTTATGTTTTTCTAAAAATAAACAAAAATCATTTTATAAAAATTTTGTAAATATAAACCAAAAACGTAAACATTACCAAACGCTACCTTAGTTTTTTTAATTTTTTTGGCTATTTTAATTTGGAGTTAAAAAGTTTCATTTGAGATAAGTTTTGAAAAAAAAAAATAAAATGATTATGGTTTAGATGTAATGTTATATTTTACTGGACTAAAAAGCATATTTTGTCTTCGTTTAGCATAAGCTAAAATGGGACTTTTTGGCTAAAATAACCACAAAACGACAAAATAAGTTTTTTTACTTAAAAAGACAAAATATCACATTCAAATCATAATCATTTCATTTTTTCTCTCAAAAAAGCCATAAAATCTATCCCAAACAATACTTTTTAACTCCAGACTAATAATCAAAAAGTTAAAAAGTTAACCCACATCCCAAACGAACCGTTTGTCTTTTTATGACTATTTTAACCCAAACATGACATACCAAACAAAACCTATCTAAGCACTTGTGTTTGCCATAAATTGTTTGGGTTAAAATAGTTACAAAAACATAAAAATGTTTAAAAGTTAATCACATAAAATGTCACATTCAAATCATAATTATTTTATTTTTTCTCTCATAAAAGTTAAAAAAATAAAAATAAAAAATCATCTCAAATGAGACTTTTAAATCTCAAATTAAAAAAAGTCAAAAAAAAAATAAAAAATTAACCTACATCTCAAACGAACCCAAGCCTCTTGAAATTTCAATTTTCTTTTACGAGTCGCACCATTTTATAGTATAGGAAACATAACCACCCAAAAAAAAAAAAAAAAAGATTACACTTTAACTCTTTATATTTGATCATTTTTTTAGAGAGCTGCTAAATGTCCAATCTATTTTCTTTGAACCTTCAATTTCTTTACATCCTCTTATATAATTGAAACTCTTCCATCTCCTCTTTGAACCTCCACCTTAGTACTAAGGGGTGGTTTGGCATCCCCTATATAATCCATCTTTTTATTTTTTTTTCCATCACATCACCTCTCTACTTTTCTACACATCTTTTTCGTAAAAAGACAAAAAGTGCACTTATTTAGATCATCCCAAACAACCCCTAACTATACCCTTATTCTTTGGATCTGAACTTTTCTTCTTTTGCCAACCCTTTCCACATCCAATAACCTTTCGCCATCGCTGACCTTCCTTCCTTCCGACCTTCACCCCCATTGATGTACTTCTCAAGACCGTCTTTGCAGAAGTAAAGCCCCTATTAGAACTAGTCACTGCTCTTTCCACCTCAAGAGTCTTCGTAACAAAGTCCCCACCTTACAAGTTCTCACAAAACCTCATCAAACGCTTCACATCATAAAACCCTAGCCCCAAATCAAAGTCTTTGAAGTTGAATTCCCAGATGTAGCAATTGTTAATGCTGAGATCGGGAAGGTTATTGTCAGAATCAAAGAGAGTGAGGCCGATCTGAATAAGATTCAAAAGATCAATGTTGGCTTTAAGGATCGCGTAATGCGCAGTGGGCTTGCGATGGCTAAAGAAATTGACCCTAGTAGGGGGATGAACGATAACACCAAGGAACTTGGTGTCTATGGAGACGAAAAGGTAGTGGTCGATGGCAAAGGTGGACGCGGCTAGGTCATAGATCGTAATGGCAACGGGGGCGAAGGCGGCTAGGGTTTAAGGTCATAGATCGCGATGGTGCAGTGGTGGAAGAAGAAGGAGGAAGAGGAAGAAAGAGTGCTGCGATGTTGGTAGTGGTTGAGGGTGACGGGAGGAAGAAAAAGAAAAAAAAAAAAACAGAATGGGGAAAAGGTGCTGCGATGTTGGTGGTGGTTCAGGGTGACTAGAAGGTAGATGACCAGCATTGAGGTGAGCAGTGGTTGCCGGAGGTGATGGAATTAGGGTTAGGGTTTGGAAAATTAGGGTTAGAGGGCCAAAGATTAGGGTAGAAATGGAATTTTATCTTTGGACAAAATTGGATTAAAAAAAATAAAAGAGTGGAGGATCCAAAGTAAAGATGTAGGTGCTAATAGCAGCCCTCTTTTTTTTTTTTTTTAAAAGAAAAAGAAAAAGCAGAATGAGGAAAAGGTGCTGCGATGTTGGTGGTGGTTCAAGGTGACTAGAAGGTAAATGACCGGCATTGAGGTGAGCAGTGGTTACCGAAGGTGATGGAATTAGGGTTAGGGTTTGGAAAATTAGGGTTAGAGGGCTAAAGATAAGGGTAGAAATGGAATTTTATCTTTGGACAAAATTGGATTAAAAAAAATAAAAGAGTGGAGGATCCAAAGTAAAGATGTAGTTGCTAATAGCAGCCCTCTTTTTTTTTTTTTTTTTTTTTTTTTTAAAAACTGTGAACAGGGCCAAATTCTACTTACACACACATTTATCTCTTCACGTTTTCCATTTTATATATTTTGTTTTCTCAATTTTACCAATATGTGAAATTACCTTTAAGGACAAAAGATGAAAATTAAATAGATTTAATTATCTTTTCACACTTATTAAACTTCAATCCCTACTTCTTTTCTTCTTTCTCATTTCTTCTTTTCTACCATACATCTATTTTCAAAAAGTGAGAATCATAGGTTGCGTTTGGTTTAGTTTTAGAATTGTGATTCTCTTTTTGGAGTTGTGATTTGAGTGTGAAATTGTGAGTTGAGTTTTGAAAAGAGAAAATTATTTGATTATAAATTTTGAAAAATGTTTTGAAATGAATTTTTGAATTTTAAATTTTGAAAAGAGCAGATTGGGTCTACCCGGTTGTCCACTCGGACATCCTCCTAGTTGTCTGGCCAGTTGATCGAAACGGTGCAATTTTTTTTTCTTGCAATTGCAACCTATTATTTGAAAATATATATATATATATATTTGTTTTAGATATTTTTTAAATATAGAAATTATTTTTTTAGATTTTTTATAAAAATAATTTAACAATTACATCACTAACCATCTTCAATATTATATTATTAAAAGAGTTTTGAAAAGAGATTTGAATTGAGTTTTAAGTTGTGTGTTTGGTTATGAGTTTTGAAATTAATTTTTGAATTAAGTTTTGAGTAATTTTGAGTTATGTGTTTGGTTATGAATTTTGAAAAGTGATTTGAAAATTTTGCCTTTGGAACCATGATTCCAAAGTCAAACCAAACACAATCATAGTGTTTTGATCATAAAAGAAAGCGATGGACGAATAAATGGTAATGAAGGACTAGCAAAAAAGTAAAATGATGAGTTTTTTATTTTATTTTATTTTTTATGTTTTAGTTTCATTTTTTAAAAGGGTTGTTTGATATTTGTTCAATGTACCAAACCCAAACAAAATCAAATAGCCAAAAACCATACTGTCAAACAAAAAATACATATCTGGTAACCCACTGCTGAACAAAAAATACTTGTTTAGTAACCTACTACCAAATAAAAAGTATATGTCCGATAACTCACTGCTAAACATTTATAGTTTCATTTTTCTGACACACACACATATACAGTCATGAATTCATTATAGAAGTGATTTGTTAGATTTATTTGCTTCTTAGTCATCCAATACCTCCAAAGGCAAATAATTGGATTCATTTTCATTACCTGTGTGCTAATAGATGGGAAAAAGTTTATACTACCCGTATTGATCAATTCTGTACACTTGTTATACCTGATATAGAAACTACCGAAACTATCAACATAGATGGATTCTAATAACATCTCATTTGTGTTTTTA